AGTTCTTTGAAGTATGGTCCAGATTACAGTATAGTACATATCAGTTCAGTCGAGTATGGTTAAGATTGGGGTTAGGTAATTTCTAGTAAAATTCAGACCTATTCCCGTTGCAACTGTGTTAGCCTAGGTATTATATAGCCACGTATTTTCCGAGGCATTTTAAATGACAATTTATCACAAGCAGCTGATTCGCCTACTTGTATTTGTGAAGGGGAAATATCAGATGGACTAATGAGAGTTCTCTTTTCAAACCTGTCTTATTTTTATGGACTTCACCTTTTCGAATGACCTTGGAGTTCGGTATTTTTGTTATATTTTTTTTGGTGTATCGTTCATGTTTGTTTACATGTCCTTGCCGAATGATACTATTGTGTCTTTGAGTTCTGATTAATAATCTTAATAAAAACAGGTATATTGTCACAAACTATCGTTCAAACTTTCATACCCAGATCACGATCATATGAGTGAACTATTAATGACCCTCGGTTGTGTTAAGGAAATACTAATATGAAAAGACCCCCTTAATACATGGTATCAACTGAGAGACATAATCAAAGAACAGATGATGCTGGAATGTTGGGTTTTTTTTTTAAGAAAAAATGCGTAGTTCAGAATGTCAAAATTTAATAATTTCTTTTTTTTTCGTAAATTTTTATTCTCACCCGATTCTCACTTCTATTTTTTTTTTATTAAAATTAAGTTATGAGACATTTCCTTATTTTTATTCTAACAGTATCCTTGGTTAATTTCATTTAATGTGCAATGGGATACTTCAAATCGAAATAGTATCAAAATGTTATTATCTAATTAGTTATTCAATAAGATGACACTATTTATATAGCTAAACTTGAAATGATAGATTAGTGTTAGCTTCCTTTCATTGTTCTTGAGAAGTCCCACTGTTGTATAAATGGTTAGTAAAGCAGAACGTTCGGTGAGAGGATGAGCACAGTTTGTGACCATGGAAATGCCTACTGGCTAATGAAAAACACACCCAAGAAAAAAGGTTCAAAGATGATTAAAAGGAGATGTCGAGAGGTTTTATTTAATCAGAGAGGTTTTTGACAGATTGATTTCGATCTTCCCAAAAGAAGATATGTGTATCCTTTGGTCATTCTTTCTAAATAGAACTGACTTAGATTAAATAACCCACTCTGTCTGCAATATAGAATAAATTGGTTGATTGATTAATGTTTAACTCCATTTTCAGCACTATTGGTTATTTCGTGGCGGTTAGATTTTATCTGTGGAGGAAGCCGGAGTGCCCGGTGAGAACAATCGATCTTCGGCAGGACTAGTCAATTAAGATTGGAGTCAAACGCACCTGCCACGTGTGGGGTTCGAACTCCCAACCTCAGTGTTGACAGGCTAGTGATACAGTAGTTGGCCTACTTAGACCACTCGGCCCTAATTTAGAATAAAGAATACCCATGTTAAACACAGAAAAGCAAAATGTTTTATGCTTTTACTCGAGGGGAGAAGTTTATATTATATTCATCTTACAGATACATAAAAATCACACTTTTTAAAGGACTGGGAGCAACAATGATAAAATTGAGAATGGAAATGGGGAATGTGTCAAAGAGACAACAACCCGACCATAGAACAGACATAGAATGACCATATTTTACCCAAAATTTGTTCAAATTATAAAGTATATGATCTTGAATTTACCAAGCATATTTTGAATTGGAATAGAAAAATAAAACTTTTTCTATGTAAAGTGACTACAAGAAAGCTTTTCTTAAACTATTCTCTTGCTTTTTGGCTGCAGACGTTTCCATAAGGGATATAGATTGACAACTGCATAAAATTTACATTTTTGTCAAATATGCGCATATTCTGACAAATTCATGACGTCATTATCTTGTTAATGTCTTATCAAATATCAATTTCTTGATTTTATATGTTTCTCTATATCAAAAATAGTTCATAGACTGTCGATCTGTGTTATCGTTAGAAGCATATGATTTTAACATATTATGAATAGTTAATTTGAAGAAAATGATCGCATCAATTATATTTTTGACTACTTGCTCGGTGAATACCTCAGAGACAAGACGTCACCCAGCAGTGGCATCGATTCAGTGCTTAAGGTGATATGGGAGTTTTCTGTCATCTTGGTTTGTTAATAGCAGAATACAGTAGGTTTAGATTGTCAATCAAGTCGTCGAATTTGGATGCAGGAATGCAATCTACTTATAAGAATTATCGTTTAAATGAACACATTTATGTGATTTTATCTAATAATTATAATATTTTTACAAAGATACAAAAACTTTTGTTTGTTTTCATTTTTTTTTAAATAGCGAATTAAGAGGAGGTAACTCGGAAATTGTATAATTTACAAAGGCATCTATTTCGTGTTATAGCACGAACAAACGTACGGTTACCCCAGTTTATCTTTTGATATTCTGAAAGCATTTGATAAGAGCTATCTTCTCATATGTTATTTCGAAATTCTATCATTTAGTTTACATTCATTCAATTCACCTAATGATGCCTTTTCTTTCTATAATCCATTAAAAAAGGTCATTTTGCACAACCTGTATCTTCTAAAAAAGCTCGTTGACCTATCATTTTTATCATTTTTAAAAGGAGCATTAGACACGAGATATACAAAAATATTAAAATATGATTATTTTTTCAATCATTAATGAAAGTGAAAAAGTGAAATACTAATTCGCTTTTAGCAGCCAATTTGTTTTAATTTTGTCAAAATGAGCTAAGAAACATCGTTGATGAATTATTCACATGCAAGTGAATAATTCGACCTCATTGAATCCGTATTCGTGTGACCTTCAATTTAACCTCTTAGCTGGAGATGTGTTACGCATCTATTCAGTTGTTAAAAGGAAAAAAATGTCAACATTGAAAGTGAAAAAAGGATGAATCTTCGGAGGCCATCTCGATTGTTAATTAGATGACGTCTAGACAAAAATACACACGAAATACTGATACTTTAATAGAGTCAATGCATTGTTAATTGTTTTTTTTAAAGACTTTTTATACTTTGGATATTCGTTTTAGTATGTTATAAATCAAAAATGAGAATTTGACTCAAATCGGTGAACATGAATTTGACAGCTAATGCCCCTTTAAACATATCATGTACTACAGAATATGATCTTATATGTACTACATTTTGGCAAAGTATGAAAAAATTCTATCATTTTTCGTTTATACTCCCATACTACCTTAATCATATAAGATCACACACTCGTGCTTATAGTTTGATACGCCAGACACCAGTTTCGACTTTGTAGGACTCATCGGGGTACTCAAATTAAAACGGATGGATGCCCAAATCATTTGACGTTTGAATATCCTTTTGATATTTTCGGCCTCTCTTTTTAAAGACCATTGAAAATCAAAAAGTCCAAAGCTTTGTGCCAAGTCTTAGTCAGGCCATCTATTCCATGGAGTAGAACATCCTTAGCTTGGAGTGATCTTAACATTTGATGAAAAGAAAATCAACAGAAATGATCGCACTACTGATATTTCATGTAAACACACGAGTCCTGACTACTGAGCTGGTGATATCCATGTGGACGAAACGTCTACCAGTAGTTGAATCGACCAGTGAATATAAAAGTTATCAAATATGAAAGTCTTATAATTTAGTACGCAAGTCATGAATATCGTCTACACACGACTCATTCGTGGTGTTCTAATAGAAGTTGAAGAGTTAAAAAATCCAAATTTCTAAAAAGTTTCATTCAACTGGCTAATGTCATGTGTGCCTCAGTGGAAAACCGAAGTCTTTCTGATGAATTTAGCATTAACAGTAAGACCCCTATTTTTAATAGTTGATTGTAGATTTAGATTAAGCTATTTTACATGTAAGAGAAGAAAAATCATTAATTTTTCTTTCATATTTTTTTTTCTACTTCATCGATTGATAGGCATTCACATGATAGTTATCTATAGTGGCACATAATACATAAATGATCGATTCTTCTAAAATTTTCAATTTCATCTTCCTTGGTTACAGCCCATGTATATTTTAAGAATAAAACTAATAAAATGCTCCGCAGGGCGCAGCTTGATACGACCGCAGAGGTCGAACCCTGAACAGTTGGGGCAAGTATGGACACAACATTCAAGCTTGATACAGCTTTGCATTTGGATTGTGATTAAATATTTGACACAGCATAAATTTCTGACACAGAATGAATGTGGTCTAAGAACTTAAAAATTTTAAATTGGACATTCACCTATTATGGTCCAATATCCAAAATCTAAATACATGGTTAGATTCAGCATATCAAAGAACCCCAAGAATTCAATTTTTGATGAAATCAAACAAAGTTTAATTTTGGACCCTTTTGACCTCAATGTGGACAAAGTTGATAACGGGGCCCAAAAATCAAAAATCTAAATACATGGTTAGATTCAGCATATCAAAGAACCCCATATATTTAATTTTTGTTGAAATCAAACAAAGTTTAATTTTGGACCCAGATTTGGACCAACTTGAAAACTGGGCCCATAATCAAAAATATAAATACATGTTTAGATTCAGCATATCAAAGAACCCTAAGAATTCAATTTTTGTTAAAATCAAACAAAGTTTAATTTTGGACCCTTTGGACCTTAATGTAGACCAATTTGAAAACGGAACCAAAAAATTAAGAATCTAAATACACTGTTAGATTTGGCATATCAAAGAACCCCAATAATTCAATTTCTGATGAAATCAAACAAAGTTTAATTTTGGACCCTTTTGACCTCAATGTGGACCAATTTAAAAACGGGGCCCAAAATCCAAAAACTAAATACACGGTTAGATTCAGCATATTAAAAAACCCCAAGAATTCAAGAATAAAACCCCATTGAAATTGGTCAAGAAATAAGCAATTTATACGAAGTATCTTCTTTTACACAATACTGTGCAATTAAATATTTCTTGCTATTGCGCAATACTGTACAATTGACAATTTCTTGCTATTGCGCAATATTGTGCTATTGGATATTTCTTGCTATTGCGCAATACTGTGCAATTGAAGATTTCTTGCTATTGCGCAATACTGTGCAATTGAAGATTTCCTGCTATTGTGCAATACTGTGCAATTGAAAATTTCTTGCTATTGCACAATACCTATTATATAATAATTTACACATCCTGTTTGGTGTGTATCTCCTACCATATCATTATTATTTGCTTTTAAATATAAATCAGAAATAACCAACTTAAAATGGAAAATTTTAAAAGAAAAAACAAGGAAAGAAAAAAAAAGGAAAAAAAAAAAATCCCCCCCCCAAATTTTTTGAACCCCCTTATGATTCATCACCCCCAAACTCAATCCCAGCCTTCCCTTTGTGGTATGGTACCTTGCAGTACAATTTCAGAGAGATCCATACACTTGAACACAAGTTATTGTCTGGAAACTAGAAAAATGTGTTTTTTTGGCCCCTTTTTGGCCCCAAATTCCTAAAATATTGAGGCAATTACCCCCATCATCAATCCCAGCCTTCCCTTTGTGGTATGGTACCTTGCAGTACAATTTCAGAGAGATCCATACACTTACACACAAGTTATTGTCCTGAAACTAGAAAAATGCTTGTTTTTTGCCCCTTTTTGGCCCCTAATTCCTAAAATATTGAGGCAATTACCCCCATCATCAATTCCAGCTTTTCCTTTGTGGTATGGTACCTTGCAGTACAATTTCAGAGAGATCCATACACTTGAACACAAGTTATTGTCTGGAAACTAGAAAAATGCTTATTTTTGGCCCCCTTTTTCCCCCCCAATTCCTAAACGTTTCGGCAATTACCCCCAAACTCAATTCCAGCTTTCCCTTTGTGATATGGAACCTTGTAGTACAATTTCAGAAAGATCCATACACTTACACACAAGTTATTGTCATGAAACTAGAAAAATGCTTGTTTTTTGCCCCTTTTTTGGCCCCTAATTCCTAAATTTTTGAGGCAATTACCCCCAAAATCAATCCCAGCATTCCTTTTGTGACATGGAACCTTGTGGTACAATGTCAGAGATATCCATACACTAACACACAAGTTATGTCTGGAAGTTACAAAAATGCTTATTTTTGGCCCCTTTTCGGCCCCTAATTCCTTTACTGTTGGTACCATAATCCCCAAAATCAATCCCAACCTTCCTTTTGTGGTATTGAACCTTGTGGTAAAATTTCATAGAGATCCATGCACTTAAACTAAAGTTAGAGTGCGAAAACCAATGTGTCTTCGGACGACGCCAGACGACGACGACGACGACGACGACGCCAACGTCATACCAATATACGACCACAAAAAAATTTTTGCGGTCGTATAAAAACAGGAAACAAGCGCACATATTCTCCTTTTACCAGGAACATGATTGCCATGATTGTGTTGTAGATCCGTTGAATAATACGTCATTTTTTAATTTTGCTGTTGATCACAGGTGAAACGTTCCGATCGATAAGTGATTTTAAATGTTTAGGTAATCGGGCATGTGTATTTACACAAAGTTTTGTTTACACAATACCGTGGCTGTATATTAGGTGCCTATTAGTACATGACTGTTCGTTGTGCAATAACAATTATTGGTTCTCGACCTTACAATATAACAAATCAAATTGACAGTGAGTAGAAACACATTGATTTTTATTTGATATATGCTTGTTTATACAGAATATTACGTTAGTACAAGTCTGAAATATTTATAATAATTGCATTTATTAAACTTCCTGTTAATAAAATGCCAGATTATAAGGGAGACATTCACTCAACGGAAGACATTTTTCTGAATGTCACCTTCTCGTGCAGGCCATTCAAATATCAATAATTTTAAAGACAATGTTCATATTCTACGTTTCGGCCTTGACAGACCTTTTCATAGTTTGTCAACATGAAAAAGTACATCTTACTTCACTTTGAATTTGTTACTTTTCTAATGAATGTAACGTTGACGTGTAGGCCTACATGAAGTCAAATTGGATTACTTTTGATTCAAAATTTAATAACAATAATTATAGATTATCGTTGATCATCTCAAAGAGATTGATTTTCTCCCTTGAGTCGGTACGGCGAAAGTGAGAAAAGCAATCGAGTTGAGATGACCATAGTAATCTGTTTATCGCTGTTTTACCTATGACGACGTTGTCAATTTCATGTCAATTTCATTAGCAACGCCACGTGCCCCTTAGTTTCTAGCGATAATTTTTCATATCACTCGACCAGGCATGGGGCGAATTACATTGCAATGTAATGCATTATATTACAATTACTTTGACAAAACCATGCATTAAATTACAATTACAATTACATTCATTTATCAAAGTAATGCATTACATTACAATTACTTTTGCAAAGTAATGCATTGAATTACACATTACATTTGTAAATTTTATTATTAGGTGAATAGAAAAATCAAACATTTTGAAAAACAACACGAAGTAACAAAAGATTCTAGCATATGCAGTAACTGTTCTATGCATTGAATTTAAGTTTACATGTAAACAGACTATTTAATTCGGCTATTACATTTTTAATTATTTAAACTTAATGTTGACTTTACTTTTATAAATATGTTTTTTGTTTTTTTTTAAATTTTAATCAAAATATTTAATTACTGAGAATTTCTTTCCTAATTATATAATAAACATAGAGCTTAATTAATGAACAATTGTCCAAATAATGAAAATATTGATTGTACAAAATGTAAAACAAACTTATTAGTGTTTTATAACAAACTTCAATAATCTTTTATTTAATCGAGACAAGGTATTCTTTGATCTTATGACAATATAGTAATGCTTTTCAAATATCAATCTTTTTATGCAGGAAAATGTATGAAATAAAATGAAATAAAGAATATATTCAAATAATTAATATATTCTTAGTTAATCAACATATCTTAAATTCTGCTTTATTTAAATCTCCAACAATATTTTAAAGATTTAGTATGTGAAAAAAGTAATGCCATGTAATGCAATGTAATGCATGAAATTACACAACTTTTTGCTAAAGTAATGCATTATATTACAATTACATGTAATGCAAAAATTGCTGCATTACACATTACATGCAATTACTTGGAAAAATGTAATGCATTACCATGCATTACAATTACAAATTTGCATTACCCCATGCCTGCACTCGACTCCGCTGAGAAAGGAGATTATCAGTCAGCAAGATCAAAGGAAAATTTCGTAAAATAGCGATAATGACAGTATATTCAGTAGGTCTGAGTGTGATAGAGGGGATTGTTACCCGTCGAAAGAAAACCAGTCAACCTTGGCTTTCAATATGCCTCGGTTGACAATGTTTTCTCGGTGAAAACATTCTGCTATATCACCATCTCATCTATGAGTTATTTATACATGATTGTTGGTTCTTCTCGATAGTCAGTACAAACAATAAGAGTGTTCATACATGATTGGTATATTATACAAGTTCCATATTCAAAATTTGTTGTTAAATCTATACTAATAAATTACACCTGTATTGACACGCATTATAAAACAATAAAAAAATTGTAATCCACCTTATTGTTTTTTTTTCAATAGTATTGACACCCCATTAAAAAGTTTACACGCTTGAGAATCGAACAATCAACTGACAGTTCCCTTTAAAAGGGCAATTAGCTACGAGATATAACAAAAAATAAAATATGACAGTAATCAATAAAAGTGAAATAGTAATCAATAAAAGTGAAATAGTAATTCACTTTTAGCAGCCAGTTTGGTTTAATTTTGTCAAAATAAGCTGAGAAACATCACTGATGAATTATTCGACCTCATTGAATCCGTATTCGTGTGACCTTCAATTTAACCCCTTTGCTAGAGATGGGTTTCGCATAAACTAGGCGTGTTCAGCTATTAAAAGGAAAAGAATGTCAACATTGAAAGTGAAACAAGGGTAAACCATTTGGTTGATTGATTCGATTCACAAAAACTCATTCTTATACAGGTAAAAACGATGATTAACATATTTTTTAACCTATAATATGAAATCAAACAAACTTGGAAAAATCCAATTGCACGTGTTCGCTTTCCATCTAAATCTATATTTATGTTTATATCGGTTATATGACCGTCGGCAGTCTTTGGAGGTCACCTCGATGGTTTAAAATTAGATGGCGTGCGTCTAGACGAAATGCTGATACATATCATCGAGTCTAAGCATCGTAAATTGTTTATTTTAGACTTTGTACATCGGATGTGACCTTGAGAGGTCATACCGGATTTTATGTTGTCGCAGAAATTTCTGCACACGTCCCTTGCGCTTTTGACTGATAACCGAACGTATTTCGTATATTTACGCGGATATTATCGGGTGCAAAATAACATTCCCTATCGCTTGTTTAAAATTCATTTCTTCAATGAATACTCACGAAAATATTTTTAAGAACATAAATAAATAAAATGAAAATGTTTTGTCGTGAGAAATATATATATATAAGTAAAAAAATCATTAATATCTATGCACACGTACCGAAAAATGGTGTTTGCGGATGAATATATCATTTATATCATGTGTATTGAATAATTGTAAGGTTTATATATCTGTCTGACAGGTATCATATTACCGCCTGTCATTTATTCATCATCTAACATAACTTGCGGTCATCCGATGTTCAGTACTTCAGTACTTTGATTATAATTTGAATATACGTTTTAGTACGTTATAAATCAAATATGAGAATTTGAGTCAAACCGGTGAACATAAATTTGACAGCTAATGCCCCTTTAAGGAACAAATCCATTGTTCAGAGTAGCCATTCAGGGAACGACTATTTGATATAATGGCGGGGGAGGTCGAGGAGGATTTTAAAAATGTATATTCTGTTCTGATAGGGACTGAATGAAATAACTTTGCCGAAGATACTGAGGATGAAAATGATTTTTTTTGCCCAACAAAATGCAGGAAATAAATGAGTGTAAGGTAAAACTCTTAAAAACAATTACAAAAACAAGATTCGAAAAAAGTGATAGTGAATACTCACTCAGAAAAAAAAATCAAATGGTCGCCCTCTAACATCCAACAAGCTCAGATTAAAATTCAGGTAATTTATAAATCATATTTTGACCATTATTAATAATGAATAACAGTCTTCTTACCGTACTAAAAACTGAGTTCCGAAAGTAATAAGCCCAGTGAACTTTAAATTGAGGATACCACCGAACCTAGAAGGTCTGCTTCATATCTTGATAGTTAAAACATGTACCTTGATATTGATACAAATCGACGAAATAAAACTGGAATCTATGACTCAACTTTCAAATTATTAATTGTCCATTTTTCAGTAGTAACATACCCCCTGCTCGTATGGCGTTTATATATCTCAATTGATACGTACGCTTATGCATGACAACTATACGGATTTCATTAACAGGGGCGTGATCCATACGGAATACAACTGTTCAAACAGAGTTATGAGGAAGAATAACTGAAGTATACACTACTTATGATTTACCGTAACAATGTTTAGATGTGACTCACTCACTAGCTACGTGACTAGCGAGCTTGTTTCTTTAGATACCCGAATAAGCGATTGTGTAATATTCCCGATTGTGATATTTTGACTTCGTGTTGATTCGCATGGCGGGTGATGCATGTAAAACAGGTGACGCTTTCCTGGCGACACACCTGGTCTCTCTTCTTTGAATTTCGTTCGATTCCCTCAGTATTTGTTTGTTGCCTTGGTTTGTATATTCTTAATCGATTTATGTGATGTGAATATCGTAAACTGATGTAGCTTAAAATAAGTTAAAAAGAATGAACTTTTGTTTGATAGAGTGCACAAACACGTAATTTAATTTTACCAGTTCCTTAAACTTAAATTCAAGACATTAGTCGGCAGTGTTTTTTTAAAGAGGGAGAAGATACGAAAGGGGTTATGGAAGCCATGGCCAAAAAAAGTAAAGAAGAAAAAGAGATATATGTAAAGCCCACAAAACATAACATAGAAATATTAAGCAACACGAACTCCACCAAACATAGGGGGTGATCTCGTGTGTGCAGGTGCTCATGAGCATATCATGCTTCACTAGTGATACCCGTCGTGTTTCTCAATGCAAGTAAAAATAAGGCGATAAAACCCATATAAAATACAATAACACAATATTTAAATGTCTTTTGTTATTTGGAGAATTGGATGGGAATGGTAGT